TGGCCTTATAAATGTATACTGACGGGAAAAAATTGTCTTTCCAGGACTTATAGATGGTAGCTAGAATCCGATCTGTACAAGACAGAGTACATGTTCATTTAGAAGGCTATTGCATATTTCAGACATTTTATAAGATGTTTCGCGATGGCAGACTCTGATGTGACAGCACACTTATGGATAACATTGTAATTTAGTATGAGAGAACCGTGTCCACATATAATACAGTATATGGCATTAAGTAGGTTTCTTTTACTAATGTTCACTTAAGACAAGACCCAAGATCCACTCAAAGTATAGGGTAACTGAATAAGGTTTCTATAAGAGTAGGGAGTAAGTATATGAATATGTAGGATAGATAACCGTTTACCCTAGATTTGAAGAGGTTAAAATTGTACCTTTGTGAGTGAAACTTCTTCTTTACTAATGGAATACGAATCGAATGAAGACGAATCAACCATTTATACGTGGTATGCTGGGTTTTAGCTGTAAAGGTTTGAACGGATTGGACTAAGGAATGTAGAGAGTCTGAAAATGTGCCATGTACATAGCCATGTTTCGTCTGTAGGAAAGGAGCTTTAGTGGGAAATAATTCACTACCCACAAGGCCATGTAATTTTTTTAATCAATTCACCCTAAGCAAGGGGATAATACCAATAAGATGCAACGGGCTACTGGGATTGAACGAGAATAGGAAGACTTTAGAACGAACCAGAAACCAAATCCTAAACAAGAAACAACTGATAAACCTCTACTCCTGTGCAAAAACAACAGGGAGGAGTGTGAACCGGACGACAGAGGAAACTATCTCTTCCTATTGAGGAATAAATCAATAAATACATAAAAAGAAATATTAAATAAAATTTCAGTATTTAGGTAGAGACGTTAGAAATATAGAGTTGAAGTAGATTTTTGAAGGAAACCGAAAACCAATCCTAATCAGGAAACTAGGGATAAACCTCTACTCCAGTTCAAAAAATCGAGAAGTGTGAACCGGACGATAGGCTTTTGAATTTAAAGGCTCCTGCAGAGACAAAGCATGGCAGAAGGAGCCGCCTACTTTCTAGAGTGGTACATGGAATCGACCATTCCTCCTGCATCTTAGACGATGGATTGTAAGAGTTCCCGACAGCATCTAGTCCCAGAACATCCAATGAGGATCGTACATACTGGTAACATCTTGCAGCGTAGAATATTACTATATAGTGTTTTAAGAGCGTATAAAAAGGCAAGAAGTGAAGTTCATGAGGTTCTGAAGGTGAATCTTCCCAAAGATATAAAAGTCCTACTGTATTTTCAATAGACATCAGGTTTGCAAGTTTACGATGTTTTATCTTGACTCTGAACATCTCGCATACTGGTTATGCGTCATCCCCTTCACCATCATCATTCAGGGTGACCAGATTGTGCAGATCTTCATGGCACTTTATCTCCAGTCTTCATTGTTTTCAATCGCACCTGATAAGATCACTGTCCTCAATATTTACTGAATATGGTTTGAACGGGCGACCGGCATTCTGAGATTTTCCTGTTTTGGTGCCCACAACAGAATAATCTCATTCACATGCTTTTTTGAATGCCTTGCAAATTTTGTTGTTCTCTACCGAACGACTTGTAAGATGTCAGGTAAACGTCTATGGAGCTGCTTTACTATTTTTATCCATAGCATAACAAAAGAAGATGGTTTGAAGATAACCTGGTGTGTGCAGTATTTACCAATATTGTCTGGTGATGATCCCATGTTACGCCATTGATCACAAAATTTCTATCAACAGGTGCAGATGACAGAAGATAAAAGTGATTATTTATTTTAGTTTGAGTTCACAAGAAAAGGATTATTTCGACAGAACCAGAATAAAATCGATAAGTGAATCTGGTATTCTGAAGAGATCTGGCATAGATTGAATGATTGGTTGGTTGGTTGATCGATCGAATTATTTTAATCGATGTAAACAACGTGCAATCAGTTTCTTACTTCCACTGCTATAGAGAGACAAGCCTACGCTGGTATAAAGAGTCCAACCCTCACTAGGAGTCATACCGTTTGGATGTTCCACATGAATGAGTAAATATCTATATCGAGTTAATTTAGGAAAGGCCACCGATGTAACTACAGAGGTGGGGGGGCGGTAAATCATTAAAACGGTTCATTAAATACAATGCAAGAAATTGTCTATAGTTCTCATCGTCAGTTCTAGCGATTCCGGACATTTTCTGTTCATTCTCATAACTGTTATTTGTCTGGAGAAGTCGAGATGATGAACTCAATCTGACGTCGTATTAGGTATTATATATATATATATATATATATATATATATATATATATATATATATATATATATATAGATAGATAGATAGATAGATAGATAGATATAAACAACAAAAGATTTTTATATATATATAAACAACAACCATGATTTTTCTCGAACGCTCTGTGCTAAAAAGACGTTTCCTCGGTAGCTAAATGGTATAGTATATCAGGCTATATATATATATATATATATATATATATATATATATATATATGTATATATATACATATATATATATATATATATATATATATATATATATATATATATATATTTATGTGAAGTGTGAGCGTTCAAGCAGTCTGAAGATATCGTGAGTGTGAAACTCAGTGACAGCTATAGCCATGCTTTCATGGAATTTAACATTGGTAAGCGTTTTTGTTCGTTCTAGGCAATTTAGGCTTCGAGCACTTTGCTGAGTAGGTGAGTTTGCCATTAGGCTTTTTCTCTTTCTATTTTTTTCTAAATTGTGGTTTTTATTAAAGGTTGTATATGGATTGGTGTTTTAGGTTTTGACAAGTTGTCTAGTTGGTACCACCAACGGTTTTTGTTTTTCTTTAATATATATATATATATATATATATATATATATATATATATATATATATATATATATATATATATCAGTCAGCTGTATACCATGCGTGATGATACACGCTTAGACGACCATGTATCTTTTGATACATGACTGACGAGACTTATTTAGACCAGTTGCCATCTAAGGCAACACCGTCTGACCTGACATTTAACTGGTGGGAGAAGACGAGATTCATACCATTCTAAGGGTATTAGCACGCAAATTCTCAATCCGAGCCGCTATCCATTACTCCACCGTGCCTCCATATATATATATATATATATATATATATATATATATATATATATATATATATATATATAAGACCTATACCCACAGAAGAGGAAAAAAAGGAGACCCTTTCGGCCAACACTTTATCAAATGGAGAACTTTGCCGCGTTGAACAAAATACTCAATGACACATTTGTAAATAGCGTTTTTTTTTCTATTTTATACTCTTTTGAAAAATTTTATTTCGTTTTTGTCGTTAATTTATTTACAGTTAAAATCTATTTTGATCCTCATTGGGTACCCTATACTTTCGGTCTTGTGCTTATAGTAAATCACTATATATTCGTCAGTTCCGCTCAGAAAGCGACAGCGATATTAACTATGTCGCAATCATTTCAAAAGCTCTACTGTGCATACAGCAGATGATACCAACTACTGGAGGTTAACTTAGTTCAGGGTGTTATTTCAATTGACTGCAGATTTCACACAGTATGACACTAATTAGACACTAATTAAAATACATTTGACATTTTTACACTTACCATAATAATCGATATCAATTCACTTTGATATCAGACCGTCTGCTTTATAACGAACCTCAACTAATGTAAGGTTTTCTATAAGTAAACGAAAAATCATTACTTTATGAAAATTTAATCAATAATATTATGATAATAAAAGCAATAATATAATGCTAAGTAAACCAATAATTCTCTGTTATTAAAACCAATATGAATCTTATTCTCTGTACCGTGTCTCTTCAGGATGTTAGCGATCATGGCCCTCCACAATTTCTTGTCCCTGGTTACTTTTAGTAGTTTTTTTTCTCCCCAAACTTATGCCCTCCAGAGTTAGGCTATGCGCTGTTTTCTTCAGTCTCTCGCACCTTCAACGTGTCCTGTGTGTGTCACATTTTCCAAGTCCTCTTTCCTCATTATATGAGAAAATTCATATTGCTATGAAAACATGATCAATAATATTATAATAAAATCTATAATACTGGTATGATATGAAACTCAATACAATTATAAGAGAACCCCTATGATAATATATCAATACGATGATAATAAAATCAATGAAGCTATTATAAAAATTCAATAATACTAAGAAAATAAATACTATATGAAATATTGAAGCCTATAATAATGTTATAAAAAATCAATAAAGCTATAAGAAAATTCATATTATTATCATAATAAATTAAATCATATTTCTATAATAAAACTATGATACTATAAGAAGGTTAATAATGCTATAAAATCAATCATATTATGATAATACAATCTATAATACTATTATAGATAAATATTGATATAAGAAAATGCTTATTATTATATAAAATTAAAAATACTAAGATAATAAAGTAAATAATGCTATAAGAAAACTCACAATATCATGATAATAAAACCAATAATACCGTAATAAGAAAATCAATAATATTATAAGGAAACCACCAATAATATGCTATTACCTGAAAATGAAAAAAAAATCCTCTTTCTTTAAATATTTTATAGAATATAAAATTTCTTTAATATCTTAATTTGTTATTCACTTACCGTCAGAATTGTGTTCGACTTATACACGAGGCTCACCAGAAATTGCCGATTCCTTGACCAGAAGGAAAGATATACCAATGTCCGATATTGAATTATACACGAATCTACATCGTATATTTCATTCGAGTTGTGTTTTTTTCCTACCAGGGATTATTCCTCCCTAATTCAAAATAGTGGCGCTCCATAATCTTCCTCGATAAGGCTTGGCTATGTATATTCATTCTGTGCGTCAAGTAAACACCAATTACAATCACGATTTCAATTCCCGTGGACCGGACGCGATTATTCCATGCAGATAATCTGTTCTAATCCGTCTTTCCCTACAGAAGCCGCGGGGCGTTTCGGGTCACAGTTTAATTTACCAAGATCGGTCCATATCGTATCAGGGGAGCCAGATGTCCGCGCTGGCCTCTCGTTGTCTTCTGTTTCAAAACTGCCAACTGAGGTAATCTGCGTCGTGTCAGAGCTGACCACGGAACCCGACGTTGCTTGGCTCAAGCCGCTCTGCAATGGTTGATTCGGGGTTAGGGGGAATCAGAGAAAGAAATAATCGATACTCCTCCCATTTCTTTTTCTTTTCTTCTTCTTCTTCAAGACGTCATTTTACGTCTCTCTTTAGTCCACTCGTTCGCATATTCCATTCGTATAATGCAGCTGTGACCGGAGGTGTCGCGCAATCGTCTTTTATTGAGTGTTACGCCCATTATGGGAAAAACATTTCCTTTTAGGATATAATCATGACACTGGACATCATGGTTTTTGCTGTCAAATTCTTGCTTGAGGTCCCTTTTATTTTATTTATTTACTCTGACTGATTACATACAAAAGTAATTCTTTTCCACGTGCAGAATTCTTTCTTTAACCGACCTAACTACATTTACTGCGCTTAGCTTTGTTTCCTATCAAATCGAATAGAAGGAAATGGGAAGTAGAAAGAGTATGTTGCGCCAATCTTCAAAATGAACAAAGCCTGTCTGAATTGGAAATCAGCTTTTAAAATCGTCGTCATTACTTGAATTGCGGACACTCGTTGGTGGCACCGGAAGGAAAAACTCAACGACCTCATCTATCTATCTATCTATCTATCTATCTATCTATCTATCTATCTATTCATATACGTGTTCCATATTTCTGTTCATTTATATCTTTTAATATCTCTCCTCTCTCTCTCTCTCTCTCTCTATCTCTATCTATCTATCTATCTATCTATCTATATATATATATATATATATATATATATAATTCATCGTAACTAAATCTATTCATCTCTAGCTAAGGATACCCTCCTATAATGTGCTGTTTATCTATCTATATATTTATCGATCTATCTATCGATTATTTTATTTCCTTTGATTTCTGATGTGTACTCATTTCTTTCCGGATCCCAACAAGAGGCTTAAGGTCAGAAATGGCATCATGACATTTTCCACTGAGAGATCTTTTTAAAAATCATACATATTTTACATAGATAAAGCCCTTCGTAAGGTGTGGGCTGTACTCGTGAGAACAATCTTTTGTATTTCATTAAGGAATGGGCTTCCAGGTATTCCTTCAATGTCTAATCAATCCGAGGACTCTAACTACAACTGGAATTGTTGATGTTCTCATGTGCCACATTTTTGAGATTTTAATTTCAAGGTCCTTGTATTTTGGTAGCTTTTTGAAGATCTTCAAAGATACATTGCAGTCTGCAGGGGCTGTCATATCAATAAGGAGGCATTTTTTTTTGTTTGCGGTTTATAATAACCCAGAAGCAAATGCGTATACAATAGAAATCCAGGGAAATAATAATAATAATAATAATAATAGATAGATAGATAGATAGATAGATAGATAGATAGATAGATAGATAGCGGTATTAGAGACCACTATCTATCTATCTATCTATCTATCTATTATTTTTATTATTATTATTATTATTGTTATTATTATTAGTATTATTATTTCCTTTGATTTGTGTTCTATACTCATTTCCTTCCAGGTCCCACCCAGAGACCTAAGTTCAGAAATGTCATCATGACATTTTCACTGAACATTTTCGAACCTAAGAGCACACACATTTTACATTGATAAAGCCCTTCTTAAAATGTGATTTATACAGATGAGAACAAGTTCTTTTGTATTTCTTTAAGGCCACCAAGGATGTGTTCAATAAATCTATGAAAATATTTCCCAGTTACACCGAGGCTGCCAACTACAACTGGAATTAGTGATGTCTTCATGTGCCACATTTTTTTGATTTCCACTTCAAGATCTTTGTATTTTGGTAGTTTTTGAAGATATTATTATTATTATTATTATTATTATTATTATTATTATTATTTTCAGAATATTATGGTGTTGCTGAAATCACTGGCACTTTTCTTGATAGAACATGGCACCTAAAAGTAGAAAGTCGAGTCTTCCCTAGTGTAGATGTTACCACAGGGCATTAGAATCTTCACCTTCCAATTTCGAGCTATTTTACAAATTAGTGAAACCAGAAAGTCATACTTATACATTAAAATTCTGTCCAAACTTTGATTTCTAGACGCAAAATATAATAATATTAGTGGAACAGGAATCTCTTCTTTATGCGTTACATTTATCAAACATGGCGTCTTAAAACTGTCAAATTTGTTTCGATAAAATGTTCAATTCTAATTTCTTTCAGAACACAGGCGATTATGACTCTCCCTAGATTTCTTTACTTTTCTTATCTGTGAATTGCAATGACTTTTTAGGAAAGACAGTGGAATGTTTTCCACTTACCGAAACAGCATTCCTTATCAGTTAAAACGCTTAAAGATATCTTCCATGTTCTAAATTTCAATGATATTCCATCGAAGCCCGAGTCATTTTATCAAGGTGTCATTGAAAAAACATCTCGAACATTGGTGCAGAATTATACGTCATCCTCAAATCCTTTGAGAGCAGAATTGACACAGTTCTCGGTGCTTAATATTCGTCCTGCTTTCCTTTTTCTCCATTGTTAATAAACACCAACCATTGAGTACAAGTTTTTATGCACAGATTTCTGTATCTTCGTTCTTTGATCAATTTTCTTTTTTTCCAGTTTTCGCCTGTCCAGTTTATGAAGGGCCCAAATGTCTTTCTGCACAAATATTTATTCCTTTTGATCATATTTCCGCTGTTGACTTTCTTTTCAAAAAGTTTCCTTCTACACCTGAGGTATTTTCTGATTTTTTCGCCCGTTTCATTTTGAGCTCAGTCTTAAATATTCATCGTTTTCCATTCTCTTTATATTCTTTAGAGATAGCAGGAGTCGTGGTAAGTTGAAAGAAAGCAATGTACACCAACACAGAACGCATATTTGTCAGACCAAGATGCCAGGTATAATTTTATTAGGGCTTATCAACTATTTGCAGGTTATTTAAAGCCAGAAAATATTTTTAGAATTTAAGAATTTTTTTTTTAAGATAATAATTTTTTGTTGAAGTAAAAATATTTATTTAAAATTCTCAAAATAATGACAGGAATGCGGGTACAAAATTTGGCGCCAAAATGTGTGGGGCAACGTAACCATGGGAACGAGTCTGTTGAAGTTTTACAAGTGCCTTTATGCGATTCTCTTCTTCTCGGACCGACTGATCTGAGGAACTGATACAAATCCTTCTAGTTGGGGAGAACTGGATTCATGCCTTTCTCAAGGATATTTGCGCGTAAGTGAATATCAAGCACCCGACAGGGATTGAATCTCGGCCCTCTGATTCCCAGTTTTAACTACCTTGAAAGTAGAAACGATAGAAAACAAACTAACAAAATCGAAAAAGTATTGAAAGAGCGAAAGATGCCTTCCAAAAGTTAGACTAAGTATTAAGAAACGGGAAAATATCGTTGGAAACAATGAAATCAATGCCCAACTGCTATTTAATATTAGTAAATGCCGGAATTGCCTCATAGATCAGTTCTACAGAAGGATGCTGCGTATGTTTTAATGGAGGGGCACTTATACATAGAATCAGAAAGAGATATAAATATTGGGAACATAATGATGAAAAGAGGATTTTGGAAAATTTGACACTCATGGGCCATTTTGAAATCAAAGCAGAAGGAAAAACCTAACAAGCTTGTTTAAATTGATGTGAGATCAATGTAGAAATGATAGTAAAATGAATATACTGCTCAGAACTACAAATGTCAGGAAGATGTGGTGAGCCGTGATCGCGCATTTCCTAAAGTGAGACTGCACATAAAAGAAGAATAAGAAGTTTGTAATAATTGAGTTTACCTCAAGAACAGTGAATGATATTGGCAGATGTTATTATATTGTCAATCAGTTATGTGACATGATTGATCATGTATCCTAGGCGATCATGTATTTTTCGATATATGACAGACGAGGCAAATTTTTTTCCAGCAGTAGGTTGCCATTTCTTTCTGCGGTAGACCAGTTTCCATCCAAGGCAACTGTCCTGTTATTTACCCATAGCTGTGGGGAGAAGAAGAGGATTCATACCTTTCTCAAGGGTATTAGCACGTAAGTGAATGTAATGAATTCGACTGGAAATCGAACTCAGCTTTCCAATTCCTCAATCCATTACATCACCGTGCCACCTATATTGTAATTGAATGATATCATAGTACAAAAATAATGGAGTAGATAGGGTCACCTATCGTCCGGCTTACACTCCTCCGCGGTCTTTTGATCGGGATTTTATTGCTTGTTTCCTATTTAGTGTTGTGTTTCCGGTTGCTTCTAAAGTCTACTTCAACTCAAAACTTCTTATGACTTCACCTAAAAAAAACTGAACTTGTATTTATTATTGAATTACTTTTTCTTTTTCCAGATAGAAGTAGATAGATTCGCCTATCGCCCAGTTTACACTCCTCCCTGGTCTTTTGAACAAGGGTAGAAGTTTATCCCCTGTTTCTGAATTAGGTTTCCGATTCCTTCTAAAGTTTTTTTTTCCTCCTCTTTCATTTCTGTTGGACCCTTGTACTTTGGTGGCTTTATCGCCTTGAATGGGATGAACTGATCTATAAAAACTGAACACCGCAGTAACAGCATCGATTACGTAAATTGGTTTCCTTTCATTTTACAAGCTACATCAAAACCTGAGAGTCAACAACTCCCAAATTTAGAAACACTATCTTATAACACTTTTAATGTTGTTTGAAAAGGGAGTGAAATATTTGACCAGACACGAAATACGTACTTCGCTTTTATACAAGAGATGTCTACATTAAGATCACGTTAAAAAACTATAGAAGAAAAAATAATTTATTAAAAATATATTTATAGACAAAAGCAATTTTCCAGCGTCTACGCGCTCCCATCTGAAAAGCTAATTTCAAAAAGTCTAATAGATCGAATCTTAAAGAAATGTGGCAGCTTAAAAGGAGACAGACAGACCTACTCACAAATATACATTAATATAAAGAGGTTTGCACGGGGACTCGTTTAAATCGATGCATAGCTAAAGAAGTGTTTGAAAAATTTATTTTATATGACTAAATACAAATGAAAACTATCTTTTCTTTCTATCTATTTTCCTTTATTTCTAAGTTTCTTTTTTTTTCTTTCCTTTTTCTCTTTGTCTTTCTTTTCAACTTATTTTCTTTTTTATTTCTTTCTTATCCCTTCTGTTTTCTCTTTTTTCTTCTTATTTCTCTATTTTTCTTCCTTTCGCTTTCTATTCTATTTTTCTTTCTTTTTATCCTCACTTTATTTTTCCTTCTTTTTTCTATTTGTTTTCTACTTTGCCCTTCATTTTTACTGTCTCTCTCTTTTCTTTCTTTCTCTCTATTTTTCTCTTCGTCCTCCTCTTCTCTCTCTCTCTCTCTCTCTCTCTCTCTCTCTCTCTCTCTCTCTTCTTTCGTTTTCTGTTTTTCTTTGGGATTTTTTTTTTATCCTTTCTTCCATTTCCTTCCTTATCCTTTCTCTTTCTGTCTTTCCTTCCGCATTTTTCTCGCTTTCTTTCATTCCATTAAACAAGTGCACATTTGCACAAAAACATGTTTATGCAGACACGCACAAAAATGCTTCTCCAACGCCATGATGCCATATATACAAAACATTGTAGGGACGATATGACAAAGCAAAAACCCAAACCTTTATATCAAATATTTATTAAGAAAATACTAAATACATTTCCTTATACATCATGGCACACATTACTACTCGAAAAAAAAAGGAACGATTATATTGAATCAGTTGTTAAGTCTGCTGCTCGGGAAGTCAGTTCACTCTGTCGTGACAGACGATTTTTCTTGTCAGAATCTATTTTACAGCTAAGCAAGTCTGACATTCGTCCGTTCATCGCATATTACTGCCACATTTAGTCTGGTGCTTCTGCTATATATCTAGAGATTCTTGATAAAATCCAAATAGAATCTGCAACGTTATCAGTCCTGACTTGGCATCTCAGCTTCAATCACATTCCCTTCCCCGTGACGTAGCCCCACTCTGCCTTTTCTATGAATAATTTTATGATAATTGTTCTGATGAGCTTTCCGTTTTGCTATCTAGACGTTTAAAATTTAAGTGCGGTACTTAATTGGCGGCAAGGTCTCATAATTTTACAGGTGAAATAGCTAAATGTAACTCTATGCTAACAGTTTATTTTCTTTTGCAATTCTCGCTTGTGGGACTTTCTTCCGGCTTCATATTTTCCTATCAACTTTGATCTTCAAAAATTGTCTCTTAAATTCATGTTCTTTCATTGTTCGCTTTCACCTTTGTAATGTGTTTCTTTTTTCTCATATTCTTTCACAATCAGTAACTCTTTGCTTCTTAATGGCTATAGGGTCTTGCTCAGGATGAATTGATAAAAAAATTTCCTGCAATTTGCTTTCTATAAGTCTGCGTATTTTGGCTATTAATCTTTGATTCCCCAATACTAAATTATGGTAAAACTTTTTTTCTATTAAGATCGTCTCGCTGTATGGGTTGAATAAATCCGGTAAGAAGATGTGTCCTTGTCTTACGCTCATTTCTAATTTTGTGACCATGACCAATTCCTTTTCCATCCGTATGCAAACGGCTAATCAATAGAATTCAAGATTAAATTACTACAGGTACACGTTGTAACCTATTGAGATATACAATCTTGTCTGCAGATAGACAGACGCAAAACTCCATATATGTATGATCCTCATTGTGTAAACCCATCGAAAAATATTTAGAAACAGAGAAAAGAAGATATGTACACACTGACACTCTAGACACACAGGCTTAGAGCCATATCACCTTGAAACATCGGTTCTCTTACGATGAACGAAACCCTAAGTCCCTAGATGGGTAACTACTTGGAAATACCAGATGCTATAAGCATGGATGTGCGAATGGAGTAAGTGATAACGGCTCGTAATGGGAAATAGGAAAGACGAGTTCCAATTCCAGTCGGGTTCGTTATATTCACATACGCGCAAAATACCTTTGGGAAAGATATGAATCCACCTCTTCTCCCCCAACTATGGGTTAATTAGTAGGACCTGTATCAGTAAATCATTGTTATCTCAAAAGAAATCTTATAGTCTACCGTCCTGGGTATGACAATAAACTATGTCTGGCAGCAAGTTTTCTGATTGGGAGATTGGAGTTTTGAAAAGCGTAGAACCACTTCTTAATTGCTGTTCTTCCCAGGTCCACCCTGACCCGGAGTGGTAGTACCTGTTAGGCTTCCAGATGCGGATAACTGTTTAACCCCCCAAAACCAGGGTCAAAATACAGTGAAAGTCTAAAAATATATTTTCCTATTAAAAATACTAACAATACATTTATGAGGAAAAAATTCCCAAAATATATTTTTATAAATTATATTTCTAATGCTCCCAAGTGTTATAGTGGAATACACCTATTCTATAGTTAATAGACTCTCCCAACTATAATAAGTAGGAGTAGTAAGAGTAACAAGTCCACAACATTAATTTGGCGACGAGGATGAGATCAAATTAATGTTGTGGAGTGATTTCAACAGTGGAGGCTTGTATTTGTACTAAGTCGGTCCTAAAATAGGTTCGACGTGCAAAACGTTAGGAACTTGATATAATAGAGTAATCTAGTTGTGGTCGCTGATATTTCAGTATTCGACTAACTGTCGTCCGGCACCGACTCACTGAGCGACAGATTTGTTACTCTTACTACTCCTACTTATTATAGGTGGGGGAGTCTATTAACTATAGAATAGGTGTGTTCCACTATAACACCAAGGAAATTAAATTTCGGCTTTAAATGATCCATGAGGAGTTAATATAACACTAAAAAACAAACCTTTTTACAGTTTAAAAATATTTTCTGTTTTTAAATAACATGCAACAGGTTGATAAGCTGTAAAAAACAAATCAATCAATTTGGACACGCACACAGTCATGTAATTCTGTACACAGAATCAGGTAAATACAAAATTATTAAATTCACACGTCGAGTTCCCTTAAGGCGCGAAATCTTGAAAATTCTCTTCGAAGATTATATTAATAACATTTGGCAGATAAAAAAAAAATAATCTAGAGTCATACTGAAACTTCACGTGACGTCCGCCACTGAAAAGATGAAGAGAAAATGAAAGGCAAATCTGCCGCTCCTCAATTCAAAGATTACATGTTCATCATGGATCAGTAATAATCGCGTACCTTGGGCAAAACTCTAGATTCCATATAACACGTGCTTGTCTAAGTCAATCTTTAAGTCAGACTTAAACTAGAAAGGAGTAAGTTACTTGATGCAGTGCCATTTCCGGCCATATCTCGTCGAAACATCAATTCTCGTAACATCACCGAAGTTAAGCAACGTTAACCCTGGTCAGTACCTAGATGGGTGACCGCTTGGAAATGCCAGGTGCTGTAAGTTTGTACGCATGTTAGTTATGTGCCTGCGTGATACACGCTTAGGCAATCATGTATCTTTCGATACATGACTGACGAGGCAGATCTTTCCCCGCATTAGGCTGCCATGTCTTTCTGCGGTAAACCAGCTGCCATCCAAGTCTATAGAACCCGGTCTGTCCTGCTATTTACCCATATCTGGGGGGAGAAGAAGAAGAGGATTCATAACTTTCCCAAGGGTATTAGCATGTAAGTGAATGTAATGGATTCGACTGGAATTCGAACCCCAAGTGTTACGTAATATCACTCCTATATGCCAATGACAATCTCCTATCACCACTGCTGAAACGAATAACCCAACGTTTAACAGTGCTTACATCCACTGTTCGTTCTCCGTAAACGTTCTACAAGCGTCGGTGAATTTCAGAAAATACATTTTTTCCGCATGGAAGACTTCAATAACACGCGTCACTTTCATACGCACTTTCATGTCAGAAGTCTTTTTGACAGACCGACGTTTATTTTCTATCTGTAACAAGACCAAATAAATGAAGAGTTATCAACAGGCAGATACAAACTCTATTGAAATACAACCCAGACTCGCATCTATACACTAGGCTCGCGTAATAAAACAGGAGGCCTTACATTCGGAGTGTCCTGCATAGAGTTTGTTTATTGTCTTATTTAAATTTAAGGGAACCAGTATCATACATAAGACTTTATAACATCTCCATCGATATCGTACCATTTAACTACAATCACCATATGTAATCCCTTATAGACAAAAATTCTATTTGCCCAGGAGAGGCGACTGCGATAGATATTTCTGTCACAGATGGAAAATGGCTGGATTTTCTCTGTCGCTCGTCCGTTGCATCTCTTTCGATTATTTGAAGCGATTAATCGGACAAGCACCGGGATTTTTTTTAAATTCTTTTGTATAGATGAAGAAAAAGACTATTAACATTTTTAAATGTCTATCTAATCGAAGAAAGAAAAGGATTTATCTTCTATTTTCTTTTTTTTCTGTTCGTTGTTTGATCTTAGAAAAGATAAAGACAGGGATTTGATATCTGTCTATATTTCTGAGATGAAATATTGTAATTATTTACAGTATTTATATTGTTTGGACTATTGTCCTCACCTTTATTGTCATATTCCCGACATTTCGACCGTTATACGCACCAGCCTTCTTCATGAAGAAAAAATATTTTCTGGCTTTAAACAACCTGCAAAAGGTTGATAGGCTGCAAAAACAAATCATTCCACACTCCACACTTTCCATGAAAACTATTGTCCTTATCTTTGTTGTTGTTATTCCAATAACTTAGTGGATTAAAGCGTTCGTTTATGAATTTGATGATTTATTAATTGTGAGTTCAATCCCTGAGCCGGGCAGTGTGTGTATTTGGACTCAGTGAAAACGGTGTGAGCAGTACTAATACTAAGAAGTAGACGTGATATCCCTAGACGTGGGCAGTGGAACGAGAACAGTTCAGAACTCCCTGTAGTCTCCCTGAATCGGCATATATCTGATGAAGGCCGGAAGCCACAACGACTGAATCGTTGTGATAACAACAACAAATATAGCGACAATAGTCTGCATGTGAATAGCGTAAATAAAGAATAGGAAGTTACGGAGAGCCATGAACGCGCACATCATTGACAGACACGGTACATATAAGAAGAATATTTTATATGAAATCAGCTTGACTCGGACATTTTACTCTTTGTATTGTTCTTCGAGATCTTAACTAAGTTAAAGAAAAGAAAGAATGAACCATGAAGAAAAAAGGTAATAAAAGATGGAATCTACTTCGTCAAGAAAGCGTTTCGAATAGCCGCAGAGAACCATTAGTAACCAAAAATGCTCTGTCTCAAATTTCCACTTGCACTTACGCAAATCGTGAGCACACAGAAAAATGTGCACCTGTGTTTTATAGATTACACAAAGGCATTCAACAATGTATGCGCAAAAAACCCTGTTAGAGCTGCTCAGAAACCTTGACATATTCAGGAAAGATATTAGAATAATCAAAAATCTCTACTGGCAGCAAACGGCCTGCATACGAATAAAAAATGATTCTAGCAGATATACAAAAATAGGAAGAAGTGTAAGGCAAGGATGTGTCTTCTCACCAGACTTATTCAACCTATACAGTGAGGCACTTCTGAAAGAACTAGAAATCCTACCAGAATTCATCATTGGTGGCCAAAATCTTAATAACATAAGATATGCAAATGACACAGTACTGATAGCAGATACAGAAAAGAAACTACAAAACCTCCTACTGAAGGTAGTGAAGGAGAGCAAGAAGAAGGGACTAAGTATAAATTACAAGACAGAATGCATGGTCATCAGCAAAAAGATGAGCTCAAAATGAAATTTACAGGTTAGGGACACTAAAATCAAGCAGGTACAGAAATTTCAATATCAGAGAAGTGTTCTAACAAGACGGAAAGTGTGACACTAAGATTTGAAAAAGTATTGGGATGGCCAAAGATGCATTTCAAAAGCTAAGCAAAGTATTATAAGACCGGAAAATTTCATTGGAAACAAAGTAAAAGAGTATTGAACTGTTATGTGATATCTGTCCTCCTGTATGGCAGCAATTGCTGGATAATCTCTTCAAAGATGAAGAAGAGACTCGAGGCAACAGAGGTATGGTTTTACAGAAGGATGCCAATGATACCATGACGGAAAATGAGAGCAACGATAAGGTTTTGGAGAGGATGCAAACAAAAAGGAAACTCATATTTAACATCAGGAAGAAGCAGCTGAAATTTCTGGTACACGTAATGAGAAAGGAGGGCTTGGAAAATCTGATACTCACAGGGTTGATAAAGGGAAAGAAAGACAAGGGGAAGCAACGCGTAACATACTTAACTGGTTTAAGCAAGTGAATATCAGAACAGGATCGAAGCTTATTGAGAGCGACAAAGGACAGGAGGAAATGGAGAGCCATGATCGCCTACGTCCTGAAGGGACACGGCGCATAAAAGAAGTCCACGCAGAGACGCGGTCGGGTGGCGCGTGCGACAAGACGCCCACGTTGTCTAATTGTGGAGTCTTTTCAACACGCGGAAACTCTAACGAAGGTATGCTGGGAAGAGAATGTGTTTTCCGTATCTTCATCAAGAAGAGACTTTTCTATACAGGGGAGGCAAAAGTAGATATATATTAATTATACCAGTTTTTTTTCTTTATATGCTGTATCCCCTCAGGACGTAAGCGATCATGGCCCTCCACAGTTTCCTGTTCTTTGTAGCTCTTAATAAATTTTGTCTCCTTGTTATTTCCCTTAAACCTTGTTTTGCCATCCATTTGTATGTTATGCGTAGTTTTCCTTTGTCCCTCGTGTCGTGAATGAATCCCGTGGGTATTAGATTTTCCAAGTTCTCTTTCCTCATTATGTGTCTTAGAAATGTCAACTGTTTCTTCCTGATGTTAAGTATAAGTTTCCTTTTTGTTTCCATTTTCTCTAAAATTTCGTCGTTACTGATATATTTGGTCCAGGGTATCCTCAGCATCCTTCTGTAGAACCACATTGCTATCTGTATTATAATTCTGGTTCTAGGATTCATTTAATGCGAGAATTCAGTTATTTCCTTAAAATCATTTATAATAGTTTTATTTTGATAATTTTTATTATACTACATTTATTATCATTTTTATTTTTTAATAATAATAATTGTTTTGCAGGTAAAGAGATGTGTGTGAATAACGGGGGGGGAAACAGTTTGATTATTTGAGGGATCGATATGTTTATAATTGGTTTGTTTATTATTGATACAACCATTCGCCCTTGCATGGAGTATTGCTGCCATATATGGTCTGGAGCTCCTTCTAATTGTCTCAAGGTCCTTGATAAAATCCAAAGACAGATACGCAATGTAATCGGCCCTGATCTGGCATCACCTCTGCAGCCGCTCTCTCACAGACGTGCCGTTGCATCCCTCTGCCTTTTTTACAAATACTTTCACGGTAACTGCTACGATGAGCTGCTTTCGCTGGTTCACAGACTTCATGAATTTAAGCGAACAACTAGGCTGGCATCTCGTTCTCACCCTTTCACTGTCGAAACTGTTAAATGTAGCCGTCTCTTCTACTCCAATAGCTTCATGTCTCGCACTTCTCGCCTGTGGAACTCTCTCCCCGTTTCTTGTTTCCCTGATAGCTATAATTTCAACTATTCAAATGTAATGTCAATCGATGTCTCCAGATGCCCTGGTCTATCCCCTATCCTTCTCTTCATCCTTTCCTCTATCACTCCTATTTGCTCTCGCTCCAACTCTCTGTAACCCCTTGCGTGCTAGTGGCTTCCCGCTTTGCTTGGGGTTGAATGCTTAAGAAAAAATTATTGTATAATCAATAAAACACGTTTTGCGCACACGTTGATTTTCATTACTGTATACCTACATTTGCACCACCACTGTACTAAATGCAAAATGTGAAATGCGACATCTGCTTTTGTTAATATTATACGACGTTTCAGAACACAACGTCGATCCTCAAGCATTTGACGTTTTTTTTTTTTTTTGTTAATGCTGGTCCTTTTCTTATTATCTTTTCTCCTTTTCCATTTTCCCTTCCTTCCTTCTTTCTCTCTCTCTCTCTCTCTCTCTCTCTCTCTCTGCCTTTATCTATCCATATACCTCCCCTTTATCTATCTATCACTCTCTTTCCTCCTTTACCAAGTCTACTCGACCAGCAGTCAGTCTCTCTTTTCCGCTTTTTACGTACTGACTCACTCTTTGACTGGGTTAATTCTCTCTATTACTCATTCTTTCATTCATATATATATATATATATATATATATATATATATATATATATATATATATATATATATATAATATATATTAATATAAAAATATATATTAATATAAAATATATATATTAATATAAAAAAGTAATAATCCGTGCCTGATGAGTTGATAGAACAACAAAACTTGCACTTCGAAGGTAGGTGTATATATATATATATATTTATTTATTATTAAAGTGAAAGAGGTTATAGTAGTTACAACGAAAGAAAAGTGTGTACTTCTTAGCTCTGTCTAACCACATTCAACACTGTTTTGTTTACACCTTATATTAAATTGAGTAAATATTTATTTTTATACCTGTATCTGCACGCTAACACACGTATATGCGGTTTTCTAATATCTAGTTATTTGATTTATCCACATTAATACACACACACACATATATATATATATATATATATATATATATATATATATATATATATATATATATATATATATATATATATATATATATATATATATCCTTCCTTCTGTTTCTCTGTCTTTGACTCATTTTTATTATATTTTCTTTTTCACTCATTGTTCACGGTTTCCCCTCTCATTCACTCAAGAGTTCTTTCTCACATTCATTTTTCCTTAATCAGTAATTCACATGTCATCCCTCTCAATGGCCACTCTCTTTCTTTCTCTCTCTCTCTCTCTCTCTCTCTTTCTCTCTCTCTCTCTCTCTCACTTTCTCGCTTCTTGTTTCGCTCAAACCTTTCTCCAGCCTTACACCCTCTTCATACACATTCTCTTTCTTCCACTCTTGATATCTTCCTCTCTATCACTCTCTTTCCAAAGTATTTTTTGATCAGATAAAATTATAATATAAACATTTGAGTTGTCATGGAACAGTCATTGCCGGCACCAGATTTAATATAATGCAGAGATCTGGAACGGTCAATGAATATCTTCGGTCGAGTCACCTAAGATCTAAAAAACACGATATGTCTCGCTTTTTTTATGGGTGATAGCTGTTCTTTTTTCATTTGATCGTAGGATACAGAAATGATTACAGCTCGAACAACAAATCTTGACAAAACCCAACGAGGAATATGCAATATTATCGGTCTTCATCTGACATCTCGGCTTCAACCTGCCGTAATGTAGCCTTCTTGTGCCTTTTCTACAAATATTTTCATGACAATTATTCTGATGAGCTTTCCTCTTTTGTACTTCGACTTCATGAATTTAAGCGCAGTACTAGATTGGCAAGTAGGTCCCAACATTTTACTGTTTAAATCGTTAGATGTGATGTTTAACTTCTAATAGTTGATCTCTCGCATTTCTCGCCAGTGTAATTCTCTTCTGGTTTCTTGCTTTCCTGACAAACAGTGGTAAAAAATAACTAATGATTAATTGTAACGCCTTTGAAACGAAACTGCTCTCTATTAATAATTTTAAAAACCGGTTTTGCCTTCCATCAGTATGACTGATGCTAACCTCCATGGATATCTTTTGGGTCCCACGATTTACGAAGACATCAAGTGGATTCATTATATTGAATCAATTCCTAAGTCTGCTAGAAATTTTTTATCAACAAAATTTATCCTTCACACTAAGGCTACTATTCGTCTGTGTATCGAATATTGCTCACACGTGTAGTTTGGTACTTCTACTATGTCTCTAGAAATTCTTAACAAAATCCGAAGAAGAATCGGCAACGTTATCGGTCTTGAAATGGCATCTCGGCTTCAATCCCTTTACCTCTGCTGTAATGTAACTTCTGTTTGATCTTCTATAAATATTTTCTCGGTAATTGTTCCGTTGAGCTTTTCACGTTGATAGCATGACTTCACGAATTTAAGCGCAGTAATAGAATGTTCAGATGTGTGTTGTGATGTCATTGGTGTATCGGCTCCGAATGTGAAATCAGAGAGACGCATTCGAATTCCAGTCGGTTCGTTACATTCAATTACGCGCAAACACCCTTAGGAAACGTATGAATCAATCTATTCTCAACCAAGCTCTGAGTTAAATAGCAAGAAAGATAGATTCCTGTAGTTTGGGTCGGCAACAAGCCTACGGCAGAAAGGAATGGCAACCTATTGCGGTAAAATCTTCTGCCCAAGCTTTTATCACGTATGGCACCTAATTATCTGACTAGATTGGCAGCTAGGTCTCATAATTTCATTTTTGTAATTATTAGTTGTAGCTGTAGCTGCTGATAGTTTTCTATTTTTTTCTGCCTGTACTTCTCGCCTGTGGAACTATCATTTGGCTTTCCTCTCATAAACGATTTTCAAGAGTTTAAATACCACTTCAAACGTCATTTTCTGTCTTCTTGAAACCTGTTCTTTAATTGTCCTTTCTAGGGTGATTTCATAATCAGTAATCACTTGTTTCGTAATGTCTTTATCACCTTGCTTGGAGAGAGAATATATATATATATATATATATATATATATATATATATATATATATATATATATATATATATATATACTAATTTATAATATATATTCATACTAAAGGCCCCTTTAAGACGATTCTCAAGTATTGAAAAAAAATTTATTTAAAAAAAAATCTTGAGATTCTTTCCAATTAACCTTTTATTAAGTATATCTCTTTTTGTATGATTCAATGTATCTTGATTGTATTCATAACTGGATTTTAGCAAATAGTGACACGTCTTTAAAAAATGGTAATTCATCCAGACAGGATTAAATAACGCACCTACCCATAACCTACAGTCTATACTTGTAGAATGTATACAACATAAAATGTCTTAAAATAATTGTTTTGTCCATTTCATTATATATATATATATATATATATATATATATATATATATATATATATATATATATATATATATAAAACTTAAGAACGTTCTATAAATCAAGTAAGCTTCATGTAGAGTAACTGGCCATGGTTAAATGTAAATCGTAGAAATGCCCATGAAACAAAATTGACAAAGTTTGCAATAAACAATAACAGAAAAGAATAGGGCAAAAATATTAAGAATTAAACAATATATGCAAGACAAAAGTAGGCAAAGCAACAGTAATGAGGCAAAAAGTTCAGACTAACAATGGTGTTAAAACACAAAAGGGATACAGACCAGTGATCACAGCATTCTCACTTCAAGACAAGAACGAACAAGAATATGACAGATTAGACTGAGAATTGGTCTATCTTATTAGCTAGGAAGAAATCCCAGCATGCATCTGTGTTTTGTCTATAAATTTGGGGAGGGGGAAGTTTTTGTAGTCATTCCTAAAGAATTGGAACCAACACTTTATAATAAATCATTTTATTTCATTTCATAGAGAAATAATTTCTCTTTATATTAATATTTGAACTTATTTCATATGCTATTGTAAAATGTGAATGTGTATAAAATATTTTCGTGGGAATAAAATATCTATTTGTAGCTTCATCATTTTGTAAGATTTGAAAAGAGAGAATAAAAAAAAAGAGGTTTCATTGTTTCAAGTCACTGAGGACAATATATTCTTATTTCGAATCATTTTGACCATTTCTACCAAACTGGGTTTATTTCCAAACAGCACGCGCCTGAAATCTCCTGCTACTCGAAATCCAAGAAAGAGACACACGATCGTGACTATTGATTCGTAAGTCTGACAATCGTTATATACTGGCTCGTTTTACATGCCTTTCAAAATGGTCAAAGCCACATTTATCAGCATTGTCTTCATTCAACCGCATGTTGAGACTTTCATAAGGATGACATAGATGCAGCCAACCTCGTTCAGAAATATCTAAACAGTCACCTGTAAACTACCGCTTTCATACACCGGGGGTTAAAGGTCATTTCGGGCGAATGAAGCCTGTAAGTCTTAGCAAGGACCATCTTTCTTCCAAACCTCGTAGACCGGTGCTGCAGATTCACAATGAACTTTACGAAATAATAGAAACCGCATCACTTGAGAACTCTTAACAGCCGTAACTAAAATGGATAGTAAATGAAACTCAAAGAGAAAATAATGATATCATTAAGACACTACTTCAAACAAAAGTATAGGAAGAAAACCTTGACCAGTAAAAGAAAAAGCGATAACAGCGGACTTGAAAAACATATTTCAATGAAAATTGTTAAAATAGAAAAATCTTATAAATTTCTAACGAAACTAGCACTGGCTGCTCGGTCAGTGAATGCCAAATATTTCCTTGTAAGGAAACGGCTATTATTACCATTAGCTTTACCATTTTAGCTCTTTGCAAAACGACTTTGCGGAATATATTCCATTATTAACTCCTCACACCCAATTATGTGTGCCT